CACTGTTGTCCAACTTGTTCGAAAAGCTAAAGTTTGAAAGAAAGTGATTATTGCTTTCAAATTTTTGCATTTGCAATGATATGTTTTTAATTGACATAATGATTAAAGTAATGCATACTAAAAAGGGACAAATTCTCCCCTCTCTGTTTGGTGGGTTATGTCACTTTTGTTGTGATGGTTCACACTGTATAACAGACTGATAAGATCATGTCTGAGCTGAATTAACCTACAGCATTCAAGCTTATATTCTCAAGTGTATTGCACTTTACTCCAAACAATTTCTCTACCCTCCACCTCTTCAGAATTAACTAATGTTTTTGTGCCCTGGTGTCTCAGGTGATGAAGTTTCTGCCATGGAAGTGATTATTAATGTGAACTCTGTGGAAATCGTCATTCATTATTCTCAAGTGTCAGCTGGCTTCCCAGAAGGACAGGATAAAGCAAGTAGTTTTAAGAGACAGTCACTGCTTTAGAATATACAAGATAATACATAATGAGAAAGAGGTTTTTAAAGCTGCCCCACAACTGAAGATGAAGTGCTATAATGAATATCAATGCTTTGCTAAAGTGGTTTAATGGAAGTTCTAATCAAAAGCATTTCAGATTGTAAACTTTCAGGGATATTAACTTTAAAACACCTGGTACAGATAATTATGCGCATTTAAATTTACTAGTTAACCTACAGTATAGGCTTCTCATATCAGATAACCTTTACTTAGACTCAGTCTGGTAGCACTTAATTTTCTAATATTATTTAAATGGAAAAAGTTAAATAATGCATATTCAAATACTCTCATTAATAGAAAATCAACATTTAAAAAGAGTGCAGGCAAACAAATTAAATTTTACAAGTGGTTCTGATGTTTGGAACCAAATACTCAGCAGTCTCAGTTGTGTATAAATGATCATATTATAGCTCACTTTCTTCAACTTCAAAGGAATGGTCAATATTTCTAATGACAGGAAACCCCAGTTTCTAATTAAATCGAGAGATTTTAATGGATTCTACCTTCTGTGTTTTTGTTCCAGCAATGCCCTTCACATCAAGCCACTCCATCAGACTTACAGATATTGCCTACTCCAACCAGAGGAGCGCTCTGATCTTCCCAGCGGTCGACAGTGCTTCTGGCCCAAGTCCTCTGATGGAGCTGTGTACATACCATACGTCATAGACCCAGAATTCTGAGTTTTTGAAAGTGAGTTTGTTAAGAGAGTCACCAATAACCTGGGCACTCCTTATGACTATGACTCAATTCTTCATTACAAATCGTAAGTGAAATGTTCAGTATCTTCTCATTGGGAAATGAAGGAATCTCACATGTTATTCAGAACATGCAGAAAGCTTTCTGTATTGAAGAAAACAGGCAGGGTAAAAGCTGAATGTAATCAATGATTAAATGTCTTTACAACATCTGTCATCTTCACCAGGAGCCTTTACTGATCTTGCATTCTTTCTATAGGGAGAGGTTTTCCTTTGTTATGTATGTTTAGATCTTATGATCCTTTTCTGAAAGGAGACCAGCATATTCTCTTCCACAGTGTAACAGTAAGCACTTTACATGTACACAGTCTCTAAAAAATAATCTCAACTGATTTGAATATGTTCATTATTTATTAAATAATGGGTTTTCATGTATTGGTTTTGCAAACCCCAGTAGATTCTTCTTGAATAAGCACAGTGATTTGTTGATTAAACCTTATAACATAAGGGCTCTTCTCTTCTCATCTTTTGGGTATTTCTCAGAAAGGAAAACATGGTTCCACTTGTTCCACTGGTGTTACATTGAGCTGTTTACAGTCAGAAACATTGATCTATGATAAAGCTGAAAAATAATAAAGACTTTTTTTTCATTTCAGGGGATTTTTTGCTAAACACAGTGGTTTGAAAACACTGGTACCCATTCCGGACAGCAACAGGAAAATAGGTCAGAGCAGCTGGCTGACCAAAACGGATATCCTGAAGATCAACAGACTTTATGAGTGCAGTAAATCTCCTTTCAGACTCCATTCACTGGTTTCCCTTCCTTTCACATACCAGGTACTGAATCAGGGCTTCAGGATTTGTCTCCTGAGCGGTCATTTCAAGGCTTAATCTATTCCTTTTTCCCCATTTCATGAGGAGAATCTAAGAGCTGGGCTTCCACAAAAACCCCTACAACCAAGACAACTGGAACAACCAGAAGAGCCACTCGTCCTGTTGTTGGCCCCACCATTGAGCCCAACACCCCCACAGGAACAGGTAGATCTGCTTCTTCTGAATGCTTGGCAGTAGAACGCACAGCCCGCTTTCTAATACTCAGTTACACTAGTCACCTTTTTGACATTGAAACAGATTTCATTATTCCCAAAATCCATATATTTCTTTACCACTTTAGAGTGAAGTTATCAGGGATCTGTGACACAAGGTGCATAACAGTTAGAAATAGAATCAGTGGACTGATAGACAACCGTGTGAACTAGACAATAGGCTTGCTGGGAGCCTTTCAGGATGCAGGAACAGTGTTTCTCCTGCAGTAGACTTGAAGCTTCTTAAAGGCACAGTGGACTCAGCACATGGCAAATGTCCACCAGCTTGACAGTGGGCATTTCTGAGGGGTGCCCACTACTGGCTCGGGGGTCAGGGGGTAGAGCTCTGAGGGATCTTCACTCTATAGAAAATGATATTGTGACAAAAGAATTGTGTACTTATGCATACAATTCTGTCATCTTCATGAATCTTTCATTGTCAATTCAGTGTGAAACCCAATGGCTTTGACTGAGAAACTCCAGGTTTTTCATTCACTCTTGTTCCCCTTTCCAGGTCAGCCTGGAGAAATGAACAGAAAATGACCTGCTCTCTAATGAAGAGGACCCTGCTCCACACTCAGCTTCCGGACACAAGGCAGCTCTCACTGCCAAGAACTAAAGATATTTGTAGGGTGTAAATATTCCTTGTTGTAAAATAAACATTAACCGTGCACAAATCAATTATCTTTCATTTTTCTATACTTTCAATTCCTCACACTAGAACCCCACAGGGATTCAGGTGCACTGAAGTATTAACATTGTCATTATATTGCAGAGTGTGAATATCTTACAGTATAAATTGCAATGCTCATTTTACATCAGGCTTGTTATTTCAGTTCAATCCTATTACTGAAGGTTTTACTTTTACCCTAAAATTAAACAACTTAACTTAATTCTTAATATAAGTAAATTGTTAGGGGGGAATAATCTAATGGTGAAATATGGAGCTGGATAATTTCGATGGAGTGTCGGTACGGCAGGTGCCGAAGGGGGTGGAGCTCATCCTCTTGAGGCAGTTCCTTCAGCGGCAGAGGGGAAAGAGCCGACAGCATCTACAGTGCAGTAAATGTAGTGTACCTGGCTGTATAAATCTCTGGGAAACGTTGTTTAATCGTGTGGAGTCACATGCAACGAATTTTCGGCTTTAGCAGGCGGTTGCGGGCTAGTTAATACAGTACAATCTGGATCTCATCTCTACCTCTGAGCTCAGCTGCAACGAGAAACGTGCGGAATGAAGCTGGAGCCCAGCTGAACTTGTGCTCAGTGCGGCGCTGAGCGCTCAGCATCGCCGTTGTTCTGATTAGCACGAACTGCAGCTCTGAATCAGAACATTTCAACTCATCCCAGCAGTAAGTTCATATGTAGGCCGTAATTACTTTGTTTCGTGTTAGTATACAACTGAAGAGAGGCATTTGATAAAAAAAACCAGATAGGGGTACGTATTGACCAACGATAATAGCAAATAGGCACGAAGCTGTAGGTTGGCGTTTGAACATGTGCCCTATAATAGAAGCATTTATTTCTTGGGATAAATGATATGAATTCATAGGGAGAGCCTTCTGACTAGCAAGCGAGCAGATCGCCGTTTTGATTTTATGTATAAGTAACATTTGTGTGCAATGATGGAAATGTACGTGTTGTAATTTCAGGGGCTACATTTGTTGCACCTCCTTTAAGAGTCAGTGTTTGTGGACGTTCTCCGTTAGAGGCACCGCGTTACAGGTATGTTGAGCGATGACTGACAGGGGCATGTACTACATTTTCCTTACAGCCTAATGGCGCTCACTGAAGTTGCTCCCTCTTCAAACCCATCGTATTCGTTTGTGCGGCTGGAAGTGGCGGTTGTGTTGCTTAGATTTCCGAGCTGTATCACTTTAATTCTGCGGAAGAATCCCACCGCCAACGGCGCAGGATAACTGAACCGCTGTGACTCGTTATTGCTCCATTGCAACAAAAACGGTACGATTAGGAGCTCCCGTCAGTAATAAAACGACAACTTACCCTACTACTCCCAGGTAACTAGTGGGTGACTTGTGTAACTTAACGCATTTGACATTTTTGCAGAACGAAATCTGGTGATGCCTATTCTGGTCTTGCAATAATAGACCAGCATACCTGTACATGCATCCCCAACTTTCCCCTCATTAAATGGGGGAACGTTTTCCTTCACATGGCATTGTTGCCCAAGAAATCCTACTCCCCAAGGCATGGTTATCAATGACTGTCCTCCCACTGAACCACATCCACCCCAACAGATCATAGAAATTAATTACATCCAGTGACACCTTGACTTTATTGCTCAGACAATAGTTACAGAATCATAACAGGTCAGAGGATCACCATACACACCATCTTTGTCCCACATTACTGGAGCATGTCCCATTCCTGTTGGCGAGCTTCAGCCACCCATCTCTATTCTTCCCCATGTGATCAACAGGGCTCCTTTTTCAGCCAAGGTTACATGAAGTCCTGAGTTTGCTGGTCATTGTAGTATGGTCTCAGAATAACAGTTCAATAACATTCCCCCTCAGGCCACTCCGACTCCTTCTCCAAGCTTGGAGAGCATGAGCTGCTCAACCTTACCCAGATCATGAGCCGCCATGGGAAGTCCTCCATATCTTCCCACTGACTTGTCCAGGTAAGGTACTGCTGCAAGAAAGCAACAAGACTAGATTGTTACTGATTTTTATCCAGATTACCATCCAATTTCAACAGCTGAGGAAAGTACAGCAGTGCCCCAACTGGGCTCTCTCCTCACTGGCTGTGCAGCAGGATAACGCTGGGTTTGTGTCCCAAAGCGAAACACACTGGGCTCTTCCTGGTATACAGCTTACCTCAAGAGCTGAGAGACAGTCCTCTGGAATGGGATGTTTGTGGAATCTCACTTTGCCACAACAGCATGCCGTTAAGATGGGATGGGATTTCCGGGCATCCTGCCTTTAAAGACAGATCAATTAACTTTAATTGTACAGAGGATTTCATAGTCCTGTGCTTAAGGACATACTGCCTCCAGAGGGAGTAAAGAGCAGCCAGCTAACCCCTCATCTAGAGCACATCAAGCAATGGAGGAAAAACTGCACTTGACACAGGAAATACCCTGAACATGTCCTACATTCAGCATCACCAACTAGGAATTCCACAGTGGCAGTTCACTCAACTTCAACTCACCCATGAGCTGGCTCAAACATCCTTTTCATACACCATCTCACATGTGGCTCCCCCTACTGGACAGCATTACTTACTGCATTTCCAAGCCACAGCTCAGCTTGTCAAGTCCCACAGAGGATCAACTAACTGGCTTCAGGAACAGTGGGCTGGTTGAGTTTTCCAAGCCACTAACATTTCACTCTTCTCACCAAACAGCTCCCAGTATTCTAGAAACAGGAATATTGGCAACACAGCTCACAATGAAAAGTCTCATGTTCCTCTTCCACTGAAGACACAATGTAGAAGTGTTTCTCCCAGGCTTCACTTTTATAAGCCTCTTTGTTAATTATGGGGGTTTGGCTAAATCCATGGGAACCAATCCCAAAAGCCCTAAAATCCTCATGTGGAATGGCCAGGTGTGTCCAGCTCGATAGTGCACACCTGCTTCCAGATCCCTGCCTGCTCAGAAGCCATCTTGGCTCAGAAACACCACAGCCTGGGCTTGAGCCAAAATGGAAGGTGCCTACAGAAGCCTTCAAGGACACTATGACATTGCTTAAATACATTTTCCCTGAACATTCACTGTGTTCTTTTTAAACCCTTCAGCACAGCACACCTCAATCTATTTCAGAAATAGATTAAGAGAGAAAGAGAATGATTTGATTATGGTTTATACAGTTTTTACCTTTATACATATACAGATTTGTGATTTATAACCCTTACACATTCGTTTCAGTGCCCAATATTATTTCTCTTCCTATGTCAGAACACTTGTTGATGCCTGCTATGATTGGAATGGTGCTCTCAGTCGATGTATCGCAAAGGAGAAAGTCAGTGCCCCAGACCCATTATAAAAACATGCTTTGCTAATAGAGTCCTCTGTATTTAAAACAATAACAATGTTTGATGAGAATGTTGTAATTTTAGTTAACTGAGGAGATTGAGGCATTACTTTGAGAGACAGAATTCCTTCCAGTATTTTAGATGCCCTGTACTGGCTGATGTTTTATTAACTGATTTTTCATGTTGAACAGCCTCCTTCTGTTTTCACGGAGAACTGGACTGGTGCTTTGGTAAGTCCACATTTAAACAAACTAGCAGGGTGACTTTTTTCAATCATGACCTGAGCCTGAAATAACATTTTATTTGTTTCTGCTTAGGGTCTCCTCATGTACTCAGACAACCCCATATATGAGTTTCTCAGTTTACTCTCATGATTTCTGTAAACCTCTTTTTAGCCCTATAAATGTGGCGTCACCACTGTTTCCTCCTGGCTTAGGAAATGGTTAATCTCCCACCAGGTAGGTTCTGACTCTTCAAAAGCACAAGTGGGGTTACTCTGAGGCTGAGAATTTTGAGTTTATTGGAATATAACATGTACTGTACTTCAGTACACTGCACTAGTGTTATGCTAATGAGTCAAGTAGTTGCTGCAGTTAACCAGTTAAAAAAATTGCATGTAAAGTAGTATTTACATGCAATTTACAACTTTGACATGACCCAAGGGAAACGTGAAAGGATGTCATGGGGAACTGTATTTAAAAGTTCTTTACACAAAGAGATGTGGGAGAATGGTACAGGCAATCCAGACATTTTTTTAAAATCAACATCCTGTTTTCTTTCGAGCAATGGCTGCATGAGATTATCCAATCAAACTGATATCAGTAACCAAAAGGGCTACATGGATCAAATACTGTCCTCTTATTTGAACTTTCTCATGTTCTTGTAACTTATTACATGAACACATCAGCTGCATGACTAATAAGAAGTACAAAGGTGGTAAATTGAGTGCATGATAAATGTTTACACATGTAAAATCTGACATCTTGTTGCTGAGTTTAGACCAGGTTATAGCACAGTCAGTGTCCTCGACCCCACAGCTCGCCTGCATGTTTCTAAATCCTTTCATTCACATTCCTGTGGCTCTCAAACACTTATAGGTATTAAATGCACTAACTGTGATTACTCAGAAAAGGATATTGAAACTTGTAACTCATGGGGGCTTCTGTAAACAAGGTCGATATCTTTAATAAGTTTTCACGTGGAGCCAAGAAAAAAAGCTGCCTGCACCGTCAGTCTGTAGCCACGCCCACTCGAATGACATCTTTCGCAGGCCACGCCCCGCCCACCTGTGCGCCAGGTTCTGCTGGAGAGAGCGGAGCTGAGTGAGTTTGTTCCGCGTCTTTTATGGTTATTTTTTATTTTTCCTTTATTTGAATGCAGATAAAATTTAACTCATGTAATTATGTAGTCTAAACCTCTCAAGAAAAAGTTATACAAATCTCTCTTGCAACGAATACTTGTTAGTTTTGATGGACTTTAAAATCTAAATTCTGTATTTGTGTGTCTTCAGGCAGGACATGTTTGGCTCAGCTGCTGCAATTATCCAAGTAAGTATAAACGTTTTACTCATTTCTTTACACGTATCTTTTTTAAATGTTTTCTTCGCTATCTAGCCTGGTGAAAACGCTATTTGCTACTAAGAAACCTTGGTTTTAATTATCCTTAAATAATCGTCAAAATACGTGTGTTCTTGTGTTTCCAGTTTGGTGTCTTCTGGCAGGACGGGCTTGGCTCAGCCGGTGGAATTATCGATGTAAGTATAAACCTTTTTATTCGTTTACACGTATCATTTTGAACTACATTAGATAGAAAATGCAGAAATGGTTTTGACCCGACAATATTGTAGGCCTGCTGTTTATAGAACTCGTTTTTTGCTAAACTACGACCAATTTCGGTTTTCTTTCTGCGTATAGTAGATTATTCAGAAACCGTTTTGGCTTCCAAATTGCACAACAATTAAAACAACGGAGCCTATAAAGACATGGATTAATTTTGTGTGTTAAATTAATTGTTGCAGAAAACAAGTTTGCTCATCAAAATGGAAAACGTTAATGAGCACATTAGTAGTGGTAGTTCCTAATCGACACACTAGCTGTATTGTTTCAGTATTCACACTTTAAATGTAACTGTTACACCAGTAATCTTTTTAAACTGTTTCATCTTTTGGACGTAAGAATCGATTCAGAATATCTATCTTTCTGGGATAATTTCGAGATCCTGTTTGTAACCGAAATTTAATTCTGATTTTTGTTGTTTTGCAGGAAATGCAATGAAGTTCCAGTCTTCATTC